CCACCCTTTGGATATACTAACCCCTTTATCTGAATTTGCTATTTTTTATTTTAACTTTTATACACGCGAAGAAATAAACAAAGTAGGACAGGAGGCAGGATGAATAAAGCGCTAACATCTGTTTCAGGAAGATTTTTTTTCTCCCTGCTCAATGGGACAGACATTTGCTAAGAGATTCCAGAGATAATGTACCTCAAAGACCTTCCATAAATAAAATAAAAATAATCTGTGCAAGGATGATAGCTATAGTGGTACTTTTCTGCACCAAATCCCTTGACCCCCTTTGATTTGGACTTGACCTCAAATATTGGCTGGAAGATGCATAGTAATTCCCCACCGCAGCCAAGCTGATTGATCTGGTCAATATGCTCACCAATTCATGCTTTCCCACCTCTGCTGGGGTTCACTCTTCCTGGACACCCTCTTCAGCCACAGATGTCTTCTCTCAAAATTATACCCACTATAGAGGCTGCATTCAATCTTCTCCTCTCCAAGTCTACACCCATCTCTCATTTCTCTGAACTCAATAATACTTCTCCATTCACAGCGCATTTTGCAGTTTTCAAAACATTTTCACATAACTAGCTCAGGAGACAAGACAAATATTATTCCAGGTTACAGATGAAAAAAAGGAGAGTCTCCTGAGTTAAGGGATCTAGGAAAGGCCTTCCTGCCTTCTACTGGCCTTACTGTCGTCATCACGCAATGCTGGGATATTGGCTTCACCTCCTTGGTTAGCTTATAGGCTACGAGAAGAAGAAACTATGGCTAAAGTGTTCATTGACTGGGATGGTAGCAAAAGCCATTGAAAACTGGTCTCTGGTTCTGGGGACCCGTCCAGTGGTCGAGTGGTTAAGTTTGTGCACTCCATTTCAGTGGCCCGGGGTTCGCCAGTTTTGATCCTGGGCACAGACCTACACGACGCACATCAAGCCATGCTGTGATGGCATCCCACATAGAAGAACTAGAAAGACTTACAGCTAGGATATACAATTATGTACTGGGGCTTTGGGGAGAAAAAAAGAAAAGAAAAGAAAATTGGATTCTGGTTCTGTCTTCAGTTGTATGATTGATGGCAAATCAGTGGGATTCAGATTCCTCATCTGTTGAAATGAGCGGGTTGGGTTGAAAGCTGGCACTAACTCTGATCCCATAATTCATAAACAATATGCTGACAGACATTCTTTCTTCTTGGCTGATGCCTTCCCCCAGCACTGGCATGAGATCTTCACAAATCTCAAGTTTTGAACTCCCCAAACTCAAGAACTCCTGTGGATGTGATGGAGGTTCTGGGCTGTTGTGGGTCCATTGGGACCTAATCCTGATAACTCCTTCCTCAGGGGATTCACACTGTGGTACACACATTATACCCAGAATCCTGACCACACCCAGTATGAGGTGGTGTCATTAGACCCACTACCACTTAGTATAGTCCCTTGGGGAATAATCAGAAGATAGTAAAACTCTTTATCCTAATCCATGAATGCCAAAATCCCACCAGCATTTCAAATGTACACCTTTCAAGCTCTCTATAACTACTGAACTTCCCAAGACCTCCTAAAAACTCCATCTTTTCCGGGGCCGGTCCGGTGGCGCAGCGGTTAAGTTCGCACGTTCCGCTTCACAGCGGCCCAGGGTTCGCCAGTTCGGATCCGGGTGCGGACATGGCACCGCTTGGCACACCATGCTGTGGTAGGTATCCCATGTATAAAGTAGAGGAAGATGGGCACGATGTTAGCTCAGGGCCAGGCTTTCTCAGCAAAAAGAGGAGAACTGGCAGTAGTTAGCTCAGGGCTAACTTCCTCAAAAACAACAACAACAACAACAAAACTTCATCTTTTCCAATTCCTGAAGTTGATCACATTGGCAATGGATCCACAATCGTTCCAAAAATGAAAATTCCTTCCCACTTTTCTCATGACCGTCATCATCATCACTCTCCAAAGCAAGGAACAATTCTCAAAATCAGAGAGCCTTGAAGTTCAAAATCGCGAAGTTTTTTGTTTCGCCCTCAGCCTCCTTCCTTATCCAGGAAGACTCTCAGCTTCCTTCCATCCCTCCTCCACGGGGACTCCCCCCTCCAAGGCCCCTGGTGTCTTGTCTCCATTATGGTGGCAGGCTTCCCCCAATTCTTCTCTCCTTTCCCTAACCCATCCTCACAGTGGATGGAATAACCTCTGGGTCTCCGCTTTGCCACCCCGCCCTACCTCTGTACCCACAAAATGTTTTATGTCACTGAGTTCACGAGAAAGGCAGATAAGAAGAAGAGAGAAAGAGGAAACGGGGAAGGAAATAACACACCTAGTTTCTGCAAGCTGTGTCGAAGGAAGCCTTTTGAAGGCTTATGTAAGTTGGCGTGTGGAGCCATAACAAAGTCCCACCAACCAGGTGACCTAAAACAACAGAAGTTTATTGTCTGACATTCTGGAGGCTGGAAGCCCGAATTAAGGTGGTGACAGGGCCCTGCTCTTTCTGAAGGCTCTGGCTGAGAATGCTTCCTTGCGTCTTCTAGCTTCTGGTGTTTGCCAGCAATCCTTGGTGTGGCTTGGCTTGTCGACGCATCACGCCTGTCACACGGCCATCTTCTCCCTGTGTCTTAGTCCCTTCCGGCTGCTGTAACAAAATACCACCTACTGGGTAGCTTATCAACAACCGGAATTTATTTCTCACAGTTTTGGAGGCTGGGAAGTCCAAGGTCAAGGTACCAGTATGGGCGCATTCTGGTGAGCGCCCACCCACTTCCTTGTTCATAGCCAGCCCCTTCTTGCTGTGTCCTCACCTGGTGGAAGGGACTAGGGATCTCCCTGGAGCCTTCTTTAGAAGTCACTGGTCTACACACCTCCTAAAGGGCCCCCCTTCTAATACCATCACATTGGGCTTTAGGATTTCAACATATGAGTTTTTCGGGGGACACATTCAGACCACAGCACCCCATGTGCCTTCATGTAGACTTCTCTCTGTGTGCGTCTGTGTCTGTGTTCAAATCTCCCCTTTTTATAAGGACACCAGTCATATTGGATTAGGGCCCACCCTAATGACCTCATTGTAACTTGACTTCCTCTGTAAAAATCCTATTCCCAAATAAGATCATGTTCTGAGGGTTAGGACTTCACCGTATCTTTTGGGGGGGGGGGCGCGGGACACAATTCAACCCTAACAACATGGGAGGGGACGACTTACTCTCCCACGTGGGAGTGAACCAGCCTTTGAGGGAACTCTTCAACCCACATAGCCTATGAGCTACAGAAGCCCTACCTACATAGACCTTAGAGATAGTCCTGGGTGAAGCTATGTGGCCACTATGCTTGACTTGACCTTTCCCCCTCAGAACTTCACTAGGGAGCTAGAGCTGGAGTCCCAGAATTGTGGGGTATGGGTGTGTGATTTTTGGCTCCAAGAAAGAATATGGCAGGAAGAGGAATCGGCTTTATCAGAACAGGCATTCCTGGCCATGGAAAGGTGTGGAATTAGAATGAAGCATATAAAGAAATGTGCTTTGTGAGCAAGAGGACCACAGATGCTTTTTGATCCATCCTTATCTTTGGCCTGGTAGGAGGGTTTTCTCATGCTCCAGTTTTTCTCACTGGAGCGGCCCCATCCTGACTACACCTGTTCCACTTCAGCGGGCATCACAGAGATCTATGCAGCGCCTTCCCTTGCACGACTCTCTGTTGAGTGGGGAATATTCAAAACATCCTCCACCCACACACTGCCTGACTGGTGGGGAACCATCAAAATGGCATTTCATTCTTTTATCATTTACTGAAAGAGAAAAAAAAAAGGAGGCAAGAAGAAAGCCCCAACCTTGTTTTACCCTCTCGAAATGCAGTCTTTACTGGCATAAGAATGTTATAGAGGTTAAATAATAAGAATGTTGGTTATTTTATTTGCTGAGTTCATGCACATTTGCTGAATAATGCTGATAAATGTAATTTGTTCTTCAAACAAATCTTAGACTGACATTCAGCAAACATTTATTGCACACCCCCCCGCCATACTCGAATAAAAATGGAGCCACTTAAATGTTGCTTGGTGGCTTCACTATAGAAAGTTTCTAACAGTAATGCAAACTTAGAGCTCACCCTAAGCAAAAGATTTTAAAGGTTCTCTGATTTCCCCTTTAAAAAAAAGAGTGAAAAGGAATATTAGCTTATCCTTGCCTAAGGCCATGCCACATTTCCACACACAGCAGCTATGCAAACATATCTACAAAAATGACTGTTGAGAATTTGAGCATTTTAAATTTAATTCGAGACGTATTTGGAGATTCAGAATAAGAAAATGTAAAAGTTTAGCTTGTCATAATTAGATATATTTCTGAATCCATGGTCCATTATGAATAGCAAGAATTCAGGCTTCTCTTTTGTTGGTGTTTTTTGTTGAAATCTCTTTTGGTTTCTTCTTGCTGAAAACACTGCTTTACAATTATAGAATGCTGTTTTTCAGAAAAGCTTACCCAGGTTAGCCATCCATAAGCTCATTCACCACCTAACATGCTACAGTCTGCACATTAGTCTGCCCTCAAAGTTCATATACTGAAACTTACCCCCCAGTGCGGTAGTTCTGGGAGGGGGGGACTTTGGGAGGTGATAGGTCATGAGGGTGGAGCCCTCATGAATGGGATTAGTGCCCTTATAAAAGAGACCTCAGAGAGCTCCCTCCCCCTTCTGCCATGTGAAGAGACAGCAAACAGACGTCCGTCTGTGACCCAAGAAGGAGGCCCTCACCAGACACGAAAATTCTGTTGTTTGTAAGCCACCCAGTCTATGGTATTTTTCTTATAGCAGCCGAAGACCCAACATAAGGAGGACTGTGCTAGAGAACAGCACCCTGGGAGGCCCCCGGAGCCTCCATGCTGCCTACACCACACACCACAGAAACACGAAGCATCCAATCAAAGGAGAGCTTGACGCAACGCCGTGTGCTGAGTGCCACCAGGGGCCAGCACAAAAGCAAGGACCAGCGGTCCGAAGTCAACACAGCTATCCTAAGAAGCTCACCTGCTTAGTGAACATCCTGCTGACGTCCACAATCTCGGATCTGCATGCTTGACCCAACCTGCTCCTCGCAGTGGCTTCCGTCTTGCCTCCTCACCCCCCTCGGAGCCTCGCCTCTCACCATCCTGCTCCATTCTCTCCTTGTCATTTGGATCCAATGTTTGTCAACGTTTCCCTCCATTGTCTTCTCTCTTCTCAACCACATCCTGGTTCTCTGACCTCAGCAGCCCCTCGCAGCTGGTTCAGCCGAGCCCCTCCAGCCTGGGGTCCCATGGACCCCTCTTCCTCTCCCTCGGGCTTGGTCCTGGCAGCAGAAAACTCACAGCTTGGGCTTTGCAACCATATTTCTCTCATTAACGCCCACGTCACTTGTTATTTTCCTGCTCCAAACCTCCAACTCTTCCCTGCCAGAGAAGGCGCGGACTCCTGGGCTGCCCTTACGCCCCAACCAGCTTTCCTTCACTCCTCCCAAAATTGAGATGCAATCATTAACCCAAACTTCTCCACATTTCCCCAAAATGCTTGCACTGCCCTCCTTCTATACCTTTACTGACGCCATTCTTTGCTGCCTCCTCCTCCTATAAAACCCTGGCTCCCCCACAGGGCACACCCACTGCTCCTTCCTTGAACCCTCAGCACATGTCCATCATAAATGTTTGCTAAACCAGTGAAACAGAAAATGCAGAAAGCTTGTATTCTATTCCAATTTTGGACCACTTTAAAAAAAAAATCTCACGGTTACATAGGACAACAAAGTTAGAGCTTATTGAAAGGCTTCAAAATACAGACGTTTGCATCTCTTCCGTGCTTGGCAAGAAATATACAAATGGAAGAAGCTTTGGACAGGGCGGGGGCAGGGAGGCGTTTGCAAAAACTCTCAGTCTCCTTGGGGTACAGTTTTCCTACATCCATTTTAAAAGGAAAGAAATACAAACCCAGAGAAGAAATCTTAAGAGGGCCTAGCCCCTTTTAATAGCGTAACACAGCTGTAAAGAAGAGCTGATGATGATTCCAAGTTACATCATTTCCAGGGAAACACAAGATCAGAAAATACAGTCTTTCTGTGGCCAAGAAGACAAAAGAAACTTTCAAGTTGTCAATGAGCATTTTATCACTTGCCCGTTGGATTGGCCATCCCTGGTATTATTTAAATACAGGATATGTATTCAGGATATGAAATGGATTTGAGATTAGGCATTCAGGAAATGAAACGGATTGGAGACCTTGAGCCTACAAAATGCAATTGAACATTTTCTCTCTTTGAATTTATTCGATTTTTTTTAAAGTTATTTCCCTTTGAGCTTCCTTAATGAAGCAAAGTGAACCGCATTACAACGAAGTATTTTACGAGAATGGCTGTTCTCAAAGGGGCAGCAATCTCCCAGAAAAGGAAGTTATGTTCCTCTCTATGAAGATCTGCCTGCAGTGTTGGGTCTCTTGCACGGATTTGGAAAGAACTTCTGGAGCCCTGAAGTCCAGTCCGCATGGTATGTCCTGGCTGCCCTCTGTAAACCTCTTTCAAATGGAAATAATAACAAATGCCCTGTCTACCCTTCCCGGTGGAAAGATTCAGAGGAGAGGATGGTTCCATATTATTGGGGTCACTGCCATCAGGATGTCTAGACAGAAGGCCTGCAGAGCCCCCAAGGAGGGTGCGGACAGAAGGGAGGTCAGAAAGGCCCAGGACCAGCATCCAGAGGCAGGTGGTCTCCCACCCCATTTCAAACAGCTCGCAGGCAGGGCCCAGAACTTCACAAACAGTACGAGTGACTTCCCTGGGACTCTGGCCTCTGCCTTTCAAAAATTTAGAGACGTTAAGGTACCTTAGAGATGATCAGGTTCGACCCACTCATTTTAGAGCTGAAGCAACTGAGGAAATGTCCATGCCACTCCAGCACCTGGGGCCATGCCAGCACCCTGCAGGGCTCCAGGGGGACCACACTTGTTCACAAACAAGGGCACGCAAATCCACGTAAAAACACACTCCTGGACTCCACTCTTTTCGGGCATGAAAGCTGTGATACCTGAGTGTGTTGCTGTGGAGGGCTGACAATTAGAACCGAGGGCCAAGCTTGAAGAAAGAGGAGCCGCTGAAGCCTCAGAGAGACTCAGAGACACAGACAGGACCACTTCTAAACACTCACCAGGTCGAAGACAGGGGCCTATAGTCACTGTGGGTGCTGGCCAATTGCCCAGACCAGCCGGAGGGACCTGGGGCTGGAGACACTGAGTGGCTCCCTCCCGGGACAGGCTTCTCCACCCCCAAGACCCCAGGACAGCATCCTGGATCAGGGGGTGAAGTTCCCCCACAGAACTCTGTGAATTTCCAGAGCCGCATGCACACAGAACCCCTCCTGGGGGCATCCTCTAGCCCCGGCTTCCCGTTCACAGCTCAAGCTTTTCTGAGTCGTCTCCCACAGCTGGGGGTCCATGGGTTGGGAGGGCTTTCATACTATGTTGACTGTTTTCCCCTGAATATGTATTTGATGGGCACGCTTCTGGCTTCAGGGATTGTTGAAACAATCGGCTGCCAGGAGGATTCTGTCACTCTTCTCCATCACTGAGGCCCTCCGAGCAAAGCTCCCTTCTGTCTGTGTGCCCTGGCTGTTACAGAGCCCCTCACCCGGGGGTAACAGGTCTGATTTCCATTCTCCCCCTACCCTGAGCACCCCGGCAGGACTCAGACCGTCCTCCTGGTCTGTGGTCGTCCAGCTTATTCTCGCTGCACACAGCGCTCACCACAGGGTCCTGGTACCTGCCTCCCTGCCTCCCATTGCATCATCTACAGCATCATCTACAGCATGATGGTTGTGGGACTGTGCGACCCCCACTCTGATGCTGGGCTTCCTGCCTGCCTGCCACCTTCTGTGGAACCCTTCACTGACAACGAGTGTCCGTGTCCCCCAAGGGCCTGCCCTCGGAGGAGGCAGAGAAAGAACAGAGGCCCCGTGCAAGAGGCTTCGGGGAGGCTGAATTCTGCCTCCAACATGGCAGCTGCTCAGGAGCACAGAGAAGGAGCAAAGGGCATAGAAGTTTCCGTGAATACGCCTGAAACCCAAACACAGCTGGAAGGTCTACAGCCGTGATGGGGCACGGAACACACAGGCAGATCTCCCAAAAAAAGAGAGCAATCCCACGTCACAGGGTGACATACGAAAACAAACACTTCCATCAGAATATTTTCAGTGCTCCAGAAAATAACATTTGGAGCTGGGGGGAGGGAAGGGCAGGACAGAGAGGGAGAGTGAGGGAGGGAGAGAGGGAGGGGAGAGGGAAGTGGGGGAGAGAGAGAGACACACAGAGCGTGTACATTTGCTGGGGGGACTCAAATGATGGGCAAAAGCGAATCGCCGCTGTTGAAATCCCACTGCTGATGCTCCCTGAAGCCATCCGAGGGTTGGGTGGGAGGGAAGAGAGCTCCTTGGAGCCAAGAGTAGTGTCAAAAGCCACTTACGGCCTATGAGACTTGGGTAAGTCTCTTTCCAATGAGGGTAAGCCTCATTCATTCAGTCTTTCATTCAAGCTTTTGTTGCATATGTTCTGTGTGCCACACACTGTGCTAGGCACGAGGGATAAAGCCAGACATGGAAGGTGGAGGAGGAGGAGGAGGAGGAGGGGTGAGGACAGCAGGAAGGGGAAGAGAGGAGGGGGAGGAGAGGGGAAGGAGGAGGGGAGCAGAAGGAGGAGGGGAGCAGAAGGAGGAGGCCCGAGGCTCCCCTCTGATGGAGCTCAGGTAGGTGAAGGAGCCTTAGTCAAGCAGTCACGCTAATCAGGGGATAAGCAAGCACTGAGATCAGCGCCCTGAGGAAAAGAGTGTTTCTCTCAGAGTGTGAAACCAAGAGTGACCCAGACGGGAGGCTCAGGGCACAGGGGGCTGAACACCTTCTCCAAGAAGGCACGTTTCACAGATGAAAGATCGCGATGAAAGGCACAGAGTGGAATCCCTGACCAAACCATCAGGAATCTGGAGTTCCTCTCATCTTGGACTCCTCTCCTCTCATGCCCACATCCAACCCCTCAGGAAAGCCTGTCAATTCTATCTCAAACCACATCTCTTGTAGGACCACCTCTGTATCTACCCCAACACAGCCTGGTCCGGGTGCCGCCAGGTTTGCCTGGACCATTGCAATAGCAACTTAGTCAGTCTCCCCACTTCTGCCCTTTCACGTGCAGGGGCAGGAAACTTTAACTACAAGGTAACTCCTCTGCTTAAAATCTTCCAATGGCTTCCCATCCCACTCAGAATAAAACCCCACACTGTAACTCTGACCCCCAGGACCCGATCCTGCCATGACTCTATGTCCTTTCACCTTCCCCCACTCCTTCCCTTCCCACTGCCTTTTTCGCTGCTCTGAGAATATGCTAGGCCTTTGCTCTTATGATGCACCCCTCCTGGAATGTCTTACTCAGAGCATTCCCCATTCCACAGAGGTCCCTACTCAAGGCCTCCTACCGGCCTTTTCATGACCATCTTAGCCCCCTGCTGTCCCCCTACTTGGAGCTGGTCCAGGTGAGACCCGGTTGTTCTCATGAAGGAGCCACTGCTAGTTCTGAGCAGGCAGGTGACAGATGGGGCTTGAATATGGAAAGGATGTGCCTGGCCCCGGAGGGGATGTGGGCAGACCTGTACTTAGGAAGGAGGTGCTGGTGGTTTAGACCAAGGTGATGGGAGAGGACATAAGCGAGGAGGCTGGTTTTCTTCCCCTGTGAAGTGGGAATAAGAATAGTGCCTGCCTGGAGGGCTGCTATGTGAAGTAAGTGACTTGGCCTGGTGCTCAGTCGCCGCTGGCGGTTGATGTTATGATTAAGAAGGTGGTTCTGGCAGGGAGGAGCACTCCGGCTTCTCCGAGCCAGCCCCTGTGGTGGAGCTGGGAGCCTCTGCAGCGGCTCAAGTCGGGGAGCTCTGCGCGCTTGTGAAATGGCAAATCAGCCCAAGAGATAATTCAATAATGAAAATAATTAATCCTCAGGCTTACAAGTGAGATGCTTGCCACTTATGGAGGCTGTCATTACAATCACTCCCAGCCTATTCTGCATCCATTCCAATCCCTTTTATCTGCCAATTTACGGAGCCAGAGCTGCTAATGAGGGACAGCCAAGGCCACCTGTCAATAAAGTGCCTTGTCACCAGACTTGAGATGAAGGGGTCTGGGGACTCCCCACCAAAATGGTTGATTGGGTTTGATTTCTGAATATAACAAATTAAATTTTAGTGTAGAAATTCACATGCAGCTCATTCACAGAAGTTGAAGAAAAAAAATTGAGAGGAAACCTATATGATCTCATCACACATGCGTTCATCAAGTCCTACAGTTTTCCCATTTACCAAGCCTCGCATTTCATCTCCTCTCTTCCCATTTCCAGGGACATCCATCGACCTAGCCCATTCCATCACTCCATAAATACTCATTGAGGACACACTGAACGCAGAGAGACTGCCAGGTGCTGTGGGGGAGCACAGCATGGATGAGGTTCCTGCCCTCGATTCTAAGAAGACAGAAAAAGCTCTGAATGTGGGATCTATCTTCAGCAAAAGATAAAACCCCAAGGAGCAGAGAAGGTGACGGGACCTCTTAACACACCTCTCCTTTTGTTCACACAGCCCCCCTGCAGGGTGGGCACACACCCTTGAATGTGGCAGTACAGGATGAGGTGACAAATGGGGATACCATCTGATGAGGGAATAAGAAATGTCCCGCACTGAGGAGGAAGTGCAGTGCAGGAGATGGCACCCTCTCAGGACCATGGCCTGGGCGCTGCAGCTCAGACCCTCAGGACACACCCTCAGGGGATGCGGTGCCCTGCCCCCCCCCCCCCCCCCCCCCCCGGTCCTGTTCCCCGTGCCTCTCTCCATCCCCTCCTCCCACTGCCAACTTCTACTCGTGGATCTACTGACCTCACACACCCCTGATTTCTGCTTTCCCTCATTCATCTTTTCACACTGAGCCAGGTAGGTTGAGATAGAAAGTGCTAGAAGATTTTAGGGGAGTGGGCCATGATTGTGGGAGGCAGATGTGGGAAAATTCAGAGGGGAGAGACCAGGGAGGGTGCTGCAGGCACCGTG